GGTCGGGGGGTGAGGGGGAGGGTCCTCCCATCAGGTGAGGATGATAACTAAACGTATCAGGTCTAAAATATCCAGGGTCTCCATGTCCTGCCCTGTGATTGGTTCAAGTCTCCAGTGATGTCACAGTTTTAGCTGTGAAGCTGTCGACCAATCAGTGATCAGCAGGTTGACGTCAGGATGTTATTGATCAGCTGATCAGGTGTACTTCAGGTGGGCGTACCTTCCAGATGTCCCGTCCAATCAGAACTATCTGTACGTCTCTCCTCCTCTCCGTCTTCTGTCTCCTGGGTGTCGTCTCCAGGGCCCCCCCCCCGGCCCAGTCCGACCTCCTCTGAGCAGAGGTCAACTGAGGGACCGTCTGACTCCCCTGCTTTAGACCACACACATCTGGGGTTAAAGAAATTCAAGACACAAAGATGTGAAAATCAACTCCTTGGATTTTACCTTGACAGTTTGGGTCTGGGTCTGGGACTGAGACTGGGACTGGGTCTGGGACTGAGACTGGGACTGGGTCTGGGACTGGGACTGGGTCTGGGTCTGGGGCTGCGTCTGTGTCTGGGACTCGGACTGGGTCTGAAACTGGGTCTGGGACTGGGTCTGGGACTGGGTCTGGGTCTGGGACTGAGACTGGGTCTGGGACTGGGACTGGGTCTGGGTCTGGGTCTGCGTCTGTGTCTGGGACTCGGACTGGGGCTGAAACTGGGTCTGGGACTGGGTCTGGGACTGGGACTGAGACTGGGTCTGGGACTGAGACTGAGACTGGGTCTGAGACTGGGACTGAGACTGGGTCTGGGACTGGGTCTGGGACTGGGACTGGGTCTGGGTCTGGGGCTGCGTCTGGGTCTGGGACTGGGACTGGGTCTGGGTCTGGGTCTGGGTCTGGGTCTGGGTCTGGGTCTGGGTCTGGGTCTGGGTCTGGGACTGGGACTGAGACTGGGACTGGGACTGGGACTGGGTCTGGGTCGGGGGCTGCGTCTGTGTCTGGGACTCGGACTGGGTCTGAAACTGGGTCTGGGACTGGGTCTGGGACTGGGACTGGGTCTGGGTCTGGGGCTGCGTCTGGGTCTGGGACTGGGACTGGGTCTGGGTCTGGGACTGAGACTGGGTCTGAGACTGGGACTGGGACTGAGACTGAGACTGAGACTGGGTCTGGGAGTGAGACTGAGACTGAGACTGGGTCTGGGACTGGGTCTGGGTCTGGGACTGAGACTGGGTCTGAGACTGAGACTGGGACTGAGACTGGGACTGGGTCTGGGACTGAGACTGAGACTGAGACTGAGACTGAGACTGAGACTGAGACTGAGACTGGGTCTGAGACTGGGACTGAGACTGGGACTGGGTCTGGGACTGAGACTGAGACTGGGTCTGAGACTGGGACTGAGACTGGGACTGAGACTGGGTCTGGGACTGAGACTGAGTCTGAGACTGGGTCTGGGACTGAGACTGGGACTGAGACTGGGACTGGGTCTGGGACTGGGTCTGGGACTGAGTCTGGGACTGGGTCTGGGACTGAGACTGGGTCTGAGACTGGGACTGGGACTGGGACTGGGTCTGAGACTGGGACTGGGACTGAGACTGGGTCTGGGACTGGGTCTGGGACTGGGACTGGGTCTGGGTCTGGGTCTGCGTCTGTGTCTGGGACTCGGACTGGGTCTGAAACTGGGTCTGGGACTGGGTCTGGGACTGAGACTGAGACTGGGTCTGGGACTGGGACTGGGTCTGGGTCTGGGGCTGCGTCTGGGTCTGGGACTGGGACTGGGTCTGGGACTGAGACTGGGTCTGAGACTGGGACTGAGACTGGGACTGGGACTGGGTCTGGGTCTGGGTCTGGGACTGGGACTGGGACTGGGACTGGGACTGGGTCTGAGACTGGGACTGGGACTGGGACTGGGTCTGGGACTGGGACTGGGTCTGGGTCTGGGGCTGCGTCTGGGTCTGGGACTGGGACTGGGTCTGGGTCTGGGGCTGCGTCTGTGTCTGGGACTCGGACTGGGGCTGAAACTGGGTCTGGGACTGGGTCTGGGACTGAGTCTGGGACTGGGTCTGGGACTGAGACTGGGACTGGGTCTGGGACTGAGACTGAGACTGAGACTGGGTCTGGGAGTGAGACTGAGACTGAGACTGGGTCTGGGACTGGGTCTGGGACTGGGACTGGGTCTGGGACTGAGACTGAGACTGAGACTGGGTCTGGGAGTGAGACTGAGACTGAGACTGGGTCTGGGAGTGAGACTGAGACTGAGACTGGGTCTGGGACTGGGTCTGAGACTGAGACTGGGTCTGGGACTGGGTCTGGTACTAGGACTGGGACTGGGACTGGGACTGGGTCTGAGACTGGGACTGGGACTGGGTCTGGGTCTGGGGCTGCGTCTGTGTCTGGGACTCGGACTGGGTCTGAAACTGGGTCTGGGACTGGGTCTGGGACTGGGACTGGGTCTGGGACTGAGACTGGGTCTGGGACTGGGTCTGGGACTGAGTCTGGGACTGGGTCTGGGACTGGGACTGGGACTGGGACTGAGACGGTGTCTGGGTCTGGGTCTGTGACTGGGTCTGAAACTGGGACTGGGACGTGGACTGGGACTGAGACTGGGTCTGAGACTGGGACTGAGACTGGGACTGTGACTGGGACTGGGACTGGGACTGGGTCTGAGACTGGGACTGAGACTGAGACTGGGTCTGAGACTGGGTCTGGGTCTGGGACTGAGACTGGGTCTGGGTCTGGGTCTGGGACTGAGACTGGGACTGGGTCTGGGTCTGGGACTGAGACTGGGACTGGGTCTGGGACTGGGACTGGGTCTGGGTCGGGGGCTGCGTCTGTGTCTGGGACTCGGACTGGGTCTGAAACTGGGTCTGGGACTGGGTCTGGGACTGAGACTGGGTCTGGGACTGGGTCTGGGTCTGGGTCTGCGTCTGTGTCTGGGACTCGGACTGGGGCTGAAACTGGGTCTGGGACTGGGTCTGGGACTGAGACTGGGTCTGGGTCTGGGACTGAGACTGGGTCTGGGACTGGGTCTGGGTCTGGGTCTGAGACTGGGACTGGGACTGGGACTGAGACTGGGTCTGGGACTGGGTCTGGGTCTGGGTCTGCGTCTGTGTCTGGGACTCGGACTGGGGCTGAAACTGGGTCTGGGACTGGGTCTGGGACTGGGACTGAGACTGGGTCTGGGACTGGGTCTGGGTCTGGGTCTGGGTCTGGGACTGGGACTGGGTCTGGGTCTGAGACTGGGACTGGGACTGGGACTGAGACTGGGACTGGGACTGAGACGGTGTCTGGGTCTGGGTCTGTGACTGGGTCTGAAACTGGGACTGGGACGTGGACTGGGACTGAGACTGGGTCTGAGACTGGGACTGGGACTGGGTCTGGGTCTGGGTCTGGGACTGAGACTGGGTCTGGGTCTGGGTCTGGGTCTGGGACTGGGACTGGGTCTGGGTCTGGGACTCGGTCTGGGTCTGGGTCTGGGTCTGGGACTGAGTCTGGGACTGAGTCTGGGACTGAGTCTGGGACTGGGTCTGGGACTGGGTCTGGGTCTGTGTCTGGGTCTGAGACTGGGACTGGGACTGGGACTGGGACTGGGACTGAGACTGGGACTGGGTCTGGGACTGGGACTGGGTCTGGGCCTCGGTCTGGGACTGGGCCTGGGTCTGGGTCTGGGTCTGGGACTGAGTCTGGGACTGGGTCTGGGACTGAGACTGAGACTGGGTCTGAGACTGGGACTGAGACTGGGACTGGGTCTGGGACTGGGACTGGGTCTGGGTCTGGGACTCGGTCTGGGTCTGGGTCTGGGTCTGAGACTGGGACTGAGACGGTGTCTGGGACTGGGACTGGGTCTGAGACTGGGACTGAGACTGGGACTGAGACTGGGTCTGGGACTGAGACTGGGACTGAGACTGGGACTGGGTCTGGGACTGGGACTGGGTCTGAGACTGGGACTGAGACGGTGTCTGGGACTGGGACTGGGTCTGGGTCTGAGACTGGGACTGGGACTAGGACTGGGTCTGAAATTGGAGGGACTGGGTCTGGGACTGGGTCTGGGACTGGGTCTGGGACTGGGTCTGGGACTGGGTCTGGGACTGAGTCTGGGACTGGGTCTGAAACTGGGACTGGGTCTGGGACTGGGTCTGGGACTGAGTCTGGGACTGGGTCTGAAACTGGGACTGGGTCTGGGACTGGGTCTGGGACTGAGTCTGGGACTGGGTCTGAAACTGGGACTGGGTCTGGGACTGGGTCCCCACCTTCATCTCCTTTATCTCCAGGTTCTGGTTCAGGAGTCAAACCTTCTTGGTTTTCAGGACTTCCAGTCTGTTCCTGGTTCTGACCAGAATAATCTGGACTTCTGTGGGTGAAGTCCACTGACACGGACTCCTGTGGACCGGTCTGTGGAGGTTCCTCCTCTCCATCACAGACCTCACCCGGTTGTTTCTCAGCGTTAGCAACAGACCTGCTGACGACTCCCCCCTCATCCTCACCCGTTCTGGTGCTGCTCTGTAAAGTACTGGTTCCATCCTGGTCCGGCCCACCTACAGATGGTCCTGGAGAACTCAGCCCAGGTCCTACAGTACCAGGGGTGCTCACCATGGGTTCTTGGTTCAAATCCTCGTCTGTGTCTGGTTCAACATCTGACCTGTCGTCTGAAGAGTCCTTGGACCCACCGTCACCTGGGACGGGATGTGAACCATCGGTATCAGACAGTGATAGTGGACCAGTTCTTGTGCTGGACTCAGTTTGGGGAACTGGTTCCTCCTCCTCCTGGTCCAGCACTTCCTGCTCGTCCACTCCTTTTGTGAAACTTAAAATATTTCCAACTCCAAACCAGGAATCAGATCCAGAACCTTCTTTCTTCTCCTCCTTTCCTCCATCTTCTCCTGACACCGGGTGAGATGTTCCTAGTCCCAGTCTGGTTGATAGTCCACTGCTCAGCCACTGCAGCGTTGACGTCTCTGTCTCTTCTTCTCCGTCCGACTGGACCTCCTCCAGGTCCAACCACATCCTCCTGCTGTTGAAGGTCACCTCCTGGTTTCCCTCCTTCGTCCTCATTTTCACATCGTGCTCGTCTTCTGAAGAGTCCATGTTTGCACCAGCTCCGTGGAACCATGTGGTCAATGTGGAGGTGAAGGAGGAGACACCACGGTCTTCTTCTTCACCTCCTCCTCCTCCATCAGTCACAGACGGAGCTGATGCGTCTGTCTTCTCCTCAGCCTCACTTTCTTCTTCTGCTCCTGGACTGAACCACGCTGTCAAAGGAGAACCGATCCACCAAGAAGAGGAAGACCCACCTGGTTCCTCCTCCTGCTCCTCCTCCTCAGGGCCGACGTTTGTTTCCGTTTGAGTTCCGTCGACTTTTTCCGTCATGTGGTTGATTTGCTGAGAAGGTGACGGTGAAAGACCGGCGTTTGTGTCTGAGACGGGTCGGTCGGGATCAGATTCCTGAGTTTGGATTTCCTGATCCTGACTTCTGTCATCAGGGTCCAGATCACTGAAGTCCAGGGGGGAACCGAACTCATCCAGACAGAAGAAATCCGACGTCTAAACAACAGAAATACAACAGTGATTAAATATCACCAAAGACACGGACCAGGAGGTCCCATAACATCAGACCATGTGATCAGACCATGTGATCAGACCATATCAGCATATAATGAAAACCAATCACACAGTGTCTGGGTTTGGTCCACAGGAGGGGACTTACACCTAGTTTTGGGTTTAAGTCCCCTCATCGGTTGATGTCGGAAGAAGAAGAAGAAGAAGAAGAAGAAAAAGAAGAAGAAGAAGAAGAAGAAGAAGAAGAAAAAGAAGAAGAAGAAGAAGAAGAAGAAGAAAAAGAAGAAGAAGAAGAAGAAGAAGAAGAAAAAGAAGAAGAAGAAGAAGAAGAAGAAGACGAAGAAGAAGAAGAAGAAGAAAAGACAGCAGAGGTAGGTGATTGGTCAAACCCTGGTGAATGTAACCGTTTCCTTCACCTGAGTTTGGAGAACTCTCTCCGTCACGGCATAAACCTGCTCCTCCTGCACGGCGTCTTTGGGGAAGTAACCAAACTGTTTGTCCATCTGAAAAACAGAAAAGTAACACCGACCAGGAAGTCAGGAATCACAGGTCAACAGCAGATTAGGATCACATGACCAGGGGGTTGTGGGGTTGAAGCCCAGACAGGGACCAAACCAACATACAGTTCCTGCCCAGAGGTCGTCCCTTCGTCCGGTCAGTTTGTGGTAAACAGAGATGGTGTCTCCGGTTCTGAAAGTCAGGAAGCGACAGTCTTGGCCCTGGTGATCCCTGACCGCCTGTACCCTGCTCATCAGACCTACAGTTAGACAGAGGAACAGTCACAGAGGAACAGTCTTTGAGGAACAGTCACAGCGGAACAGTCACAGAGGACCAGTCACTGAGGAAGAGTCAGAAGAACAGTCTCTGAGGAACAGTCACAGAGGAACAGTCACAGAGGAACAGTCTCTGAGGAACAGTCACTGAGGAACAGTCAGAGAAGAACAGTCACAGAGGAACAGTCACAGAAGAACAGTCTCTGAGGTACAGTCACAGAGGAACAGTCACAGAGGAACAGTCACTGAGGAACAGACACTGAGGAACAGTCACAGAGGAACAGTCACTGAGGAACAGTCTCTGAGGAACAGTCACAGAGGAACAGTCACTGAGGAACAGTCTCTGAGGAACAGTCACTGAGGAACAGTCAGAGAACAACAGTCACAGAGGAACAGTCACAGAGGAACAGTCACTGAGGAAGAGTCAGAAGAACAGTCTCTGAGGAACAGTCACAGAAGAACAGTCTCTGAGGAACAGTCACTGAGGAACAGTCAGAGAACAACAGTCACAGAGGAACAGTCACAGAGGAACAGTCACTGAGGAAGAGT